TCATCATATAATGAATTTTTATAATATTCAATTTAAATTAATCGAATTATAAAATAACAAATGCTGAATAAAAAAAATTCCATGGGAAATCATTGAGCAACAATGGTGTCGGCAGGAACGTTCTCGAAAAGAGAACAATCAAAGGGTTTGTACAATGATGCCCACAATTCATTCAACCCTCAACAAACTGGCTAAATTTTTAACCCCCAGCCTTGTTATAATGTTTGGAATCCAATGAGTAGTTGGGAAAGCTTTTAGAGCAGTTGGCAAAGTTCCAAAATGCTGTGTTTTAAAAGAATCCATAGGTAGTTAGGTGTCCCTTTAAGACAGTTAAAAGAGTTGGGACAGTGCAGCATCATATCTGATCCAAAAGATTCAACCTATCACTCTTTTCCAGGCTAAAACTCCATTGATCACGGGCATGAATCAACTCCCTTCCACTCTCTGTCCAAGCGAGTGGGGGACTCATCATGCTCCCCCAATAACTTGGGATTCCATAAGCTTTTACTATTTCTGCAACGTACATTTGTGGTCTGGTCAGCAAGAGCATGGCCGTTTTTCATTTGTTTAATAATCGATGTTGGGAGATATTGAGGTTCACGCTCCATGAAAATCTCATCAGATATTGGGGACCGGTTCTTTCTTGTCTGATTCATTGCAGCCTTGTGCATGGCGGGATTTACCTTTTCCACCATCCTTACTGCTTTAATTTGAATTTTGTATTTTAAAGGTTGATTCATGACTCAGATTTGGGATGTTTGGGTACAAGTTTTGATTTTTTTTATCTCAATTTTCAAAATTAACTCATTTTCTTTTTAAATAGTCTAGGAAATTTTTGTTCAAAAAAATTTATTTTTATGAAAGCACACACAACCTAAGATATAATTGTTCGAACACAAGAGAATAATACTCATTTTAACTATTGAAGAAACTTAATGAATTTAATTAGCTCATTTTCATGAATTTGAACATTATAATATAAATAAATTTCATTTAAACACAATAAAGAATCAACATATAAAATTCAACTCCTAGATAAGGTTTTCTCTTACCGAGCCAAGCAACTCGACATAAAATTATTTGGGGTAAAATACATCCTAGGTCATTCAATTATAGGTTTGGTAATAAATATATTACTTTTTTTTATAAAATTTATAGTTTAGTCATTTAATTAAAATATTATTACAATTAGGTCACTATTGGTTAAAATTGAAACATACATCTGATGTGGCTTGGTGTGGTGTCCCCAAAGCTTTTTCATTTCTACCAATTCACCCCTAATTTAAAATAATTTAATAAATTTAATTGATCATATTTAAATATTTCATTAATTTTTTATGATATTGTCAAACAAAGTAAGTTCTTTGGATCAAAGCGACAGTTGAATGACAACATTCTACCATAGAGCAACGATAAATTAGTAATAAATAATTATGATACCAAAAAAAGTATCAAGAAAACAATGTAGTAACATTTTTACGAGAATAGCAAAGACTAAATTGATATAACTTTTAAATATGAAGGGTTAAGTTTATTAAATTATTTAAATTAAAACTAAATTTATAGTGTATTCATTTTGGAGACTAAAACTGATCTCATATCAAGATACATCACTATTCAAATATTTAACAACCAATAATATATTTATAATAATTTTTAAATTAAATGACTAAATTGTAATATTTAAAAAATAATTTATTTATTAACAAACATATAATTAAAAAGGAAAATTCTGATTCTTTAAAGATTTGATCTGGAACCGTTCAATCTTCGTTTTGTCCTTAACTTGGAGGTCAGCATTTCATCGAATCGAATTAAATAAAATAGTTAATTTATTTATTTTATTAATCAAACTTAAATTATATCTATTTTTAAATTAATTCGAATGAAAAAAATTTGAATTAAATCGAATGTAATAAATTTATTGATTATTTTAAATAGTCTGGATTGATTTTAAAAAATTAAATAACTTGGATAAAATTATTTTCAAGTTTGTAACTTGGATCAAGTTTTTACCGATTCCTAATATAACTACCCACTCCACCCAAGAGCAGATATTGCTCCACTTTTTATATGTCTGTCCATTTCACTGTTGATGGGGAAATATAAATTAAGTAGAGCACATTATATAAATGAATAATTTTTTATTAATATTATGACAATTATAAGATAATATATGTTTAAAAATAACTATTAATCAATTTACATTAAACATTTATATTCTTGATATTCATAATACTCAAATTAAAAGTTTTAAAGAATAATAATAATAATAATTCTTTTACTATCAAATTTATTTGGTTCGTCTATAATTAAAATAGTAAAAATAAATATAAGGCGGTCCATTTATGGGGGGTTGAAGTTTGACCTTGAATCTCGAGCGTGGCGCCGAATGGGTGTAGCTTAGTTGGCAGCACGAGCTCGACTTGAAGTTTGAGCTAAACCAAACATTGCCATGCCTAATTCCCTTCTACAATGGGGCAAGCAAGCCCTAATACCCTTTGCGCATCTCCTTCCTCATTATTAATCATGTTTTAGTAGTAATCCGCACTTAAAACTAGAGCAGTAAACAACACGAGTCAGGTCGCGAGATATTTGAGATCGACTCGATCAAAGTTTAATAAATAATTGACTCGAGTTCGAGTTCGACTCGAATTCTTAACGAGTCGAAATGGGTTCCTTCATACTCGACTTGAAAAGCTCGCGAGCTGCACGAAAAAAATATTGTACTAAAATTTTATGTTTAAAAAAATTTATTATTAATGATATTAACATTTATGTGTTAATTTTTTTTCTTAAATATACAGTATAAATGTATTTAAGATTCAGGTTCGAGTTGAATATAATAATTCTATTTTCTTTCAATTTGAATTATTATTTTAATTATTTAATTCTATTTGATTATATTTTAATCATATTAAAAATTATATTTTAATTTAATCATAAATATTATTAATATTCTAATTATATAATATTCTAATTATAAAAATGAATTCTAATAATAAAAATAATTATAAAAATTATAAAAATAGTTATATATTTCTTATTTATCTATATATTAAGTTCAAGTTTGAGCTTTAACCGGGTTAAGTTTAAGATTTTTTTATTTCGAGCTTCAATTCATGGTTTTGAGCTCGAGTCGAACTTGAAAATTTTAGGCTCATGAGTTTTCTAGCCGAGTCGAACTCCATTTAAGAGTTTTCGAGTATAGTCGAACTCAGCAATACTCGAGCTTGACTCGGCTCATTTACAATCCTACTTAAAACTATTGGAACTAATATGATAATTATAAGGCTAAATCACATGTTTAACTAATTGTTTTTAAAAAAAATAATTCATAACATTTAGTTTATGTTTTATTGGGTACATATCCGTTAAAAATTTAATGACAATGTTGACGTGTTATAATAAGGTAATGTCATGTCATTATTTAAAAATTTGTAAAAATCTCACATTAGCAGTTCTATTATTCTTTTAACAACGTGTATCAAATTAATACATAAACTAACCATTAAAAATTATTTTACAAAATTTAAAATATAGATACTAAAACGAAATAAAACTAATAATTTAAGTATTAAACTTGTAGTTTATTCTAATTTTAAATTGGACCAGTACTTTTCAACTTGACCCTAGAGATTATGGTTACTCTAGTCAACGCCTACTTTTTTTCTAATTAGTGATGTGATTTTATTATCATATTTTTAAGATTTGGAGTGAGTAAATATGTTCACATTGGTATACCAAAAAAAGATAAAGCTCTTGAATTGAATTCATCCAATACCATTTATCTTGGTAATGAATGACAGTGTTACAAACTAGTAAACAAAATTAGGTAAAATTTAATCGATCTAAAAAATTGATAAAATTTAAATAATTAAATACGATTCATCAATTCGATTAATTGGAATTTTTTTAAATTTGAACCACTTATATATTCACTTCTAATTCTTCTTACTTCTAATTCATCATTCATTTTAAATTCATGTTTTAACAATTTTTAGTGGAACATGAGTTTTTTACTCAAATATATACTTAAAAAAATTATTTACATTTTTAGAATCCATTCCAGATTATTTTTTTAATCTAGCATTCTTTTATATCGTGTAAGTGGAAGACATTTTCTGTATGAAGTGCTTTTAAGAAGGCGGTTTATGCAGGAAAAACCTTTGGCTTACGTGACACAAAAGATTATAACTCTTTATGTTGGATTGAAATGAAAGAAAAATAAAATTATGAGTTAAAAATGTGAAAGAAAATTATAAAAAATTTATCTAAAAGGAATAAACGTGTGCGGAATGTGTCAAAGACACGTAATTGCACGAGCACAAACATGAGTAGGGTTGGATGACGATGAATGTGTATTAGCCCATATTGCTTAGATACGTAGATTTACAAATATTTAAATATAATATTTTAAGTATTTATTTATTGAAGGATTAAATATAAGGTTAATACATAACGTCGTCGCTCAACTCAACTCATGCTCGTTTTCATACTAGTGTAAAAGTCACATACTTTTTCATATTTTTAATCACTTTTTCTTTTATTTTAGTTAAATTTGATTGAGATTAACAAAAGATCTTCATGCAAAACGGGTCTTTGCTTATCTCACAAAATAAGTGTTAGATTGAGAATTAATTGAGAATTAGTGTTATTTTGATTATTATTATTATTATTATTTTTGTTGATATTTGAGTAAAAAAGCCGGGAAATAGGGGATGCTTACAAAATACTGAGCAGAAGGGTAAAAGCGGCATATCCCTACTTATATTTTTAAGGCAATTTCCTACACAGAAAGCTACAAGACCACGCGGTTTCTATCTACTTTCAAGCCACAAAAACAGCTCCCCCATGTGCCTCTGCAAAACTACCTATTTGTATGTATAAAATATTTTTTAGTTACTGGAAAAAAAAAAACAATTTGTGTCTGGTCCCTAATGCCCCAAAAGTGGAGTTAATGTTAGTTGTAGCTTGCAGCTCTAAACTTTTATATAAATCCCCCTCACCTTCTCCCCATTTCCTTCACCATTCTCATACCCCTGGTTTCAACTCTTCTCATCTTCTTCCTTCATGTAATCTTATATTCCTCTTCACAAATGTTTCCATTTTGAGCTTATGGTTCTTACTTGGAAGCTCCAATCTTACTTGGAAGCTCCAACAAAGTTTTTAACTTGCGTTTGTTTGCAGGAAAATGGCTTTTGCTAAGGTCTTCTTGTTGGGTTTTCTTGCAATGGTCTCTGCTGTTCGTGGACATGGTGCTGGTTGGACTAATGCACATGCAACCTTCTACGGCGGGAGTGATGCTTCCGGGACAATGGGTATGGAACTAAATGAAGCAACTTTATGTGGTACAATGGGGTGGCATGTTCTGTTTCAGTGATTCATTTAAGCTTTTGTTTTGCAGGTGGAGCATGTGGTTATGGAAACCTGTATAGCCAGGGTTATGGGACGAATACTGCGGCTTTGAGCACTGCTCTGTTCAACAATGGGCTGAGTTGTGGGTCGTGCTATGAAATTAAGTGTGTGGATGATGGCAAGTGGTGCCTGCCTGGCTCCATTATGGTCACCGCCACCAATTTTTGCCCTCCCAACAACGCTCTCCCTAATAATGCCGGAGGCTGGTGCAACCCTCCCCTACATCACTTTGATATTTCTCAGCCTGTTTTCCAACACATTGCTCAATACAGAGCCGGAATTGTGCCTGTTGCTTACCGAAGGTGTGGTAAAATTACATGCAATCGTTTTTACCCTTTCCTCCAGTAAAAACTTTTGCTTTTACTTTTCTTGATAACATCACTTACTTTTTGTTGGTGTTTTGAAATTGTAGGGTAGCATGCAGAAGAAAGGGAGGAATCAGGTTCACAATCAATGGCCACTCCTACTTCAACCTAGTCCTCATCACCAACGTAGGCGGCGCCGGTGATGTGCACTCTGTGGCTATCAAGGGCTCCAAGACCGGTTGGCAGCCCATGTCTAGGAACTGGGGCCAGAACTGGCAAAGCAACAGCTACCTCAACGGCCAAAGCCTCTCATTTAAGGTCACAACAAGTGATGGCCGTACTGTGGTGTCCTACAATGTTGCCCCACCTGGCTGGTCCTTTGGGCAGACCTTCACTGGCGCCCAATTCCACTAGAGGAACACACTTTGTGATCTAGATCTTTTCAATTACTATATACTATATATACATTAAAGTAGTAGTATTTATTAGCTTGACTTTTAGTATATGTAAGGAGTCCTATAATGCCATGGGATTTTTGGGTCAGAAATGTGAAAGGGCTTATTTTAAAATAGCCCTTTTATCATTTTGGGTTTGGTTTTATTGTGGGGGTAGGTGTCCTAGTTAAGGCAAGGTGCCCTTTTTTTAGAGGTATTGTAAGGGCCATTTTTCTTGTGTTTGTGAAAACAGGAGGAAATGGCAGAGGTGGACTTTTACCACCCGCCAACCTATTAGGTCCTTTTTTTCTCACCTAAGGGATGTTGAGAAGAAGCATTGTTTTGGCTTTGATTAGGTTTTGCTGGCTAATTTGTGAATTTTTCTATTCCCACTAGTAATGCAAAAGTGAACTTTGGTTTATCATATTATGATTGAGTTTTATTTGGCATCATTCAGTATAATAAGACTGTAGGAGAAGAAGGGGCATTGTCCGCCCAGTTGCACCTGCAACGATCCATTTCCACTCGAATCGTTCAGGACACCGTTTTCTTGTCCAGAACACGGTAACTCAGAACTTAAACTGGTTCCAAAGTAACCCGAATAACTTCCAAAGGAAAACCATGCAGAGCCCTCCACATCTCTGGAAATAAGCAGAGACTGTTATATACTAATTCGCCATGCCACTTGTTATCTACATTATATAATAACATCTTCATCTCCTGAGGGGAATCGAATTCGGGTCCTCCGACAAGGCCATATGCCTACCATCATGATTCAACATCCACACAAGATCAGTTTGGAGCTGTTGTTGAGTGCCCATTCTATAGGGTACTTGCATTTCATTTTGGAACTGCAAGAGAAAGGCTTGTTAACTAAGCCAACTTCCACACATGCCCCTTGGGAGGACACTATCATTTTCTGTCAACTACATAGGGGAACATGGCATACCTTATGGACTTGAATTTGATCTAGATATTCCATTGGCCCCAATTGTTCTACATTGCTGATCTCGTCTATGTTAGTCCAACAGCTGAAAAGTCATAATACTGTTAGAAATATGTTGTAGAGTTGAAGTAAACGAATGAACTATACAAAGAGGCACTGTGCTGAGAAGAAGGTGGTCGTGCACCATGTACCCAGACATTCATGAATATTTACATCATGGTCCAACTTCTTGAATGGTTTTTTTTGAATGCCTAGATTCTCAAAGATAAAAGAAACTATGTAATTGATAAGAATGATGACCCAATAAACTTGATAAACAGCAAAAAAATATGACGAAAATCTGTTGAAATAATAATGTTTTAGCTAATTTTTTTTTATTGATTTTGTTATTTAAATAATAATAAAATCGATAATGTATATTTTTAGCCGTATATTAAAACTGCCGCACGTGATCACTTTCCAAATATGATACGCTGTTTAAAGATAGTGGGTTTAGGAAAGGACTTACTTCAAGGCTTTCCAACTTCCTGTTTCCAGTAAATAGGAATGGAAATGCGAGTGTTGATAAGTATGATATCAAACTGTTAAGTATGAAAATATATACAATTAGTAATAATTTCAGTTACAATCGATAATGTTACATAAGTTTTTTAAGATAACTTGTTAAGTTACAACTCAAATAATTATATAATTTACATGATTTATTATGAATAATATAATATATTTAATTTTAACTTCAAATATTATTTAATTTTAACATAAAAAAGATGTTTTCTGTATTTTTATTAAAATTGTTTTTGCAAACTTAAAAATAGGAAAACACATGTGGTAGATTTTTAACTTAATTTACACAGTTGAAATCCTTCTAACAACAAATTTTAAATTTAACGATATCTAAAATCCTCAAAATTTTATAGAAAAATCAATATGGTCCATGAACTTTTTTTATACTCAATGTGATCCTTAAACTGAATATTTTAATAGTTTAATTTATAGTAATTTTATATTAAATATATTAAATATCTTAATAATTGTTTATATTTTATATTTTAAATTTAAACTACATCTTAATTTTTTTTAAAAATTAAATAAATCGTCAAACTTTCTAAAAAATCAACTAGACTTTCAAATTTAATAAAAAATTTAATTAAGTTCATCTATCACATCATCATTCATCGTGTGTGCTGCCACAAAATATCGTAAAATGTCACATCAATAATGTAAAATATCATGTAAGCTTTGTGAACTGTTATATAAGTGTCGTGACGGTTTAATTCTGTTAGTTAAAAGATTAGATAGATTTTATCTCAGTTTAAGAGTCACACTAAGGGCAACTAAAAATGTTCAAGGCTACACTAGTTTTTATTCCCAAAAATTTGAGGGACTTAAATTAACTAAATATATATTTTTATTTCAATGACTCTTTTATGTGCTCTTGCTTACAACAATATTGTCTAATTTTTTTAATTTAATTGATACCCAATACATATTAACATTATACTCTTATTATAAACTAAAATAATTTTTGTGATATGAAATTAATAATCAACTTTATTGTTTTATATTTTCATAACTCACATGTTAATTTAAGTAATGCTTTTTTAATAATTATATTTTAATTGAATTATTTAATATTTATTTGTTTATCTCCATTTAAAAAAATTAGATATCAAATATATTTTTACTATTTTATTTTTGAAATCACGTTTTCATTTATATTAACCAAACATGTTTTCTAATTTTTAAAAAACTGAAAATAATTTTTTTGATAACAAAATAATAAATAAAAACAAAAAATATTTTATAGAACCAAGCAAACCCTTAGTTTTATTATTTTTATGTGGTTAAGAGATTTATTGTTATCCATTGAAATCTTGGGTTTGAGCATAGTATATGTACGAGCATAAGCTTTTATTATCAATTATTGAAAGTTCTTAAACAAATATTATATTGTATTAACCTAGATTTATAAAAAAAATAGAGAAAATAACCTCAGTGACCGAAAATTCCTTATAATATACGATTTTGACCAATTTTTTTCTATTTGCCAAAATGACCAACAAAATCGCAATGCGGTCTCTAAATCGCAACGCGATCTCCAGTATCGCAAATTAGTTTCCAGATTCGCAACGCGATTTTGACTATCACATTACGATTTTCCAAATTCGCGTTGCGATTTTAGAAAATCGCAATGCGAATATGTAAATCGCAACGCGATAATACATAATCGCAACGCGAATCTGGCTATCGCAACGCGATAATACAAAATCGCAATGCGATTTTCAAAGCGACATTAGTATCGCAACGCGTATTTTATTTTCATATTCCAAACACGAATATTAATACATCCCGTAATCGTAACTCTTAACCTAAAACCCTAAATCACAACTCAGTCCCATCTCCATTCTCACTCTCTACGGCGACATCCGTCCCCATCTCCGATGAAATCCGTCCCCATCTCCGGCGAAATCTGTCTATCTCCATCTCTCAGAGCCACCCTCACAATCATTCACGATAAGAAATGGAAAATCAACCAAATCAACCATCGAGGGTTAGTTTTTTAATTATTTTTATTTTGAAAATTTTGCATTATTATTAGTTTTTTCATATTGAAATTGATGACAAGTTTACTGGTAATTTCAATAATAGATTAACCATTTCACTTAGATTGCTTATTAAATTCATTCAATTGCTGCCAATACTGCTAAACTGTTCTAAAATAACCATGTGAAGTTAGTATTTGTCTTTGTTTTGTCTTTTGGTTGAAGTAATGCAATCCATTCAAGTTTCAATTTTAGACAATGACTATTTGAAACCGAGGATCGCAACACGAAATGAAAATCGCAACGATAGTCAAATTCGCGTTACGATAGTCATTTTCGTGTTGCGATTTTCATTTCGCGTTGCGATAGTCAAATTCGCGTTGCGATAGTCATTTTCGTGTTGCGATTTTCATTTTCGTGTTGCGATTTTCATTTTCGTGTTGCGATTTTAAGTTTCAGAAACTATTATTCTTCTGCAAATTGAAACTTGAATGAATTGCATTACTTCAACCAAAAAACAAAGACAAATACGAAATTCACAGTGTTGCAAATTTAAGTTTAAAGAATAAACTACTACTACTTTTATGTTTATTAATGTTTTTGGTATATCTTCACAGTGTAGTTGTTAATCTAACTTGGTATGCTTATTGTTTTTGTAGAACTTTTTTTCGGCTCAATTGACCTTAAGGAATAAAATAAGCCTAGTCACTACAATTGCGTCGAAACTTTCACCTGTACAAAGAAAAATGTTTGAGGATACTTGCTTCGGGCCATGGCTGAAAGTACAACATCCGGGTGGAGATGCTATGTTAACCCATTTGTGGCTTCAGACCATGACTAGCGATCTACCCGAGAGTATAAAATGTGGTAATAAAGAGATATGGTTTCATTTTCCACCGGCGTATACGTGTTTTGGGCGGGAGGAGTTTTGCTTAATCACTGGTCTACGCTTCGGACACGATGATGTAGGTCGATACACTAGTCATATTACTCGCCCATCATGGTTATCCCGGGTTTTTCCTGAGCTGTCAATGGAGAAGCCGAATTTACACGTCGACGACTTGACGAGATTATTGAATAAGAAAGATGGTTTTACTCGGATGAATGACGTCGATGTTGTATGAGTATGCCTTTTAGTACTTTTGCATGTCGGCTTTTTAGGCAGAGAGGCCAGACAACCTATTTTTAAGGACCTAATATTATTGGTAGAGGACATAAATGCATGGAACCTATTTCCGTGGGGTTCATATCTATGGAAAGCTACCTGGAATAAGTTGTCGTCTGCCTTTGATGACCGCAAAAGTTTGCGTGGCGATGGTTCCAAATACACTTTGTCAGGCTTTATTTGGGCCTTTAAGGTAATAATTTATATATAATGTTTCGAAAATTATAATTAATTATTTAACAATTACTAATGTTTGTGTATTATATTGTTTTTGTAGATTTGGATATTTGAGGCTTTTCCCGACATGCAGACATATGCATTAAAAACTTCAAATGATATTTCTAGAGCTATTTCCTGGAAGAGGAAACGGCGGCTATTGATTTGGGAAGAGTTACTACGGTATACGACAATAAATGATGTAAGTTAACACAAATACTACCATATATAAACAAGTTATTACTAGTACACGTTTAACTTTGTTTGAGTTTTTATATTGTTAAGAGGTCAACACTCCATTACAGAGGCTGACACCCACGGAGGCTGAGCTTGCCACTGATTGGTGGCAAGCTAGTAAGCATTTTTTTGATGGCACGGATGATGAGCAGCCTCCACTTCGAGAGCCATCACCTCACCCAGAGCCATCATCTGATCGACCACACTATATACCTCTACAACGAGAGCCATCACCTATTCCGTCACATCATCGAGCCTCTTCTCCACCATCACCTCATGATAGGCGACCGTCAAAGATGCCACGACATTTATCTCCTTGTTCTCCACCTCCA